CGTGGGTCCGGGGGGGGGGGGGGGAGAAGGAGGGGGGCCCGGCGTCCGGCTGCCGCCGGAAGCGGCGGTGTGTGCGGGGCCCAAGATGGCGGCGGGGATGTACCTGGAGCACTACCGGGACAGTAAGGGCCGCCGGGGGCGGGGCCGAGGGCCGCGGCTGGGGCACGGAGGGAGCGCGGCTCGGGGCGGGGCCCCGCGGGGGGGACGAGCTCTGCCCGGGGGCTGACCGGTCCCCAGGGCGCCCGCCGCGGCCTGCCCCGGAGCCTCTCGGGCGGCAGCTGTGCCCGGCTCTCCCCGGCCGGGCTGTGAGGGTCCCGGTCCCCCCGCAGCCGTGTGGAGAGGCCCCGTCCGCCGCGGAGAGGCGTCTCGGGGCCGCTTGGAAACGGCAGCTCCGGTCGGGCGCCGGTATAGGCTGCCCCTTCATCTCCGGGGGTTGGGGCTGCCGCGGGAAACCAGCCCCGGAGGAAGGAGCCCGGCGCCGCTCCGGCCGCCTTTGGGGAGCGGCAGGTTGGCTGTGGGTGGCTTTGCTGGGATAAACTGCAGGGCTGGTGACACTGAGCCCGAAGATAAGTTTTGTGCGTGTAGGGAGGTGGCTGCCATGGGTTCCTTCGCTGTAAGAGTTCGCTGGTTGAAGAAGTGCTCTGTAAATGCTAAAAGAGTTGGTGACGTTGTGGGAGTCCTCCCGTAACACCGTCCTGCTTTAAGGTGCTTTATAACGTTGTCAGACTCTGCCCTTTTGGGGGATAAGACTTTCAAGGCATGTTTTACCTCTCTGTTCTTAAAATAGTCAAGTAGGCTAATCAGAGGTGTTGTTTTTGAAGGCAGGTACTAATGAGTTAAGATTTAGGAATCTGCTCTTTGATGAAAACTCTTCCCGTGTTTTCTTTCTGTCAGTGCTAGGGGAGCATGGTGATGGGGTGATGTGTTTAAAGCTCAGTAGTTCTAACAACGTGTCTTTTGCTTCATTATACCTGGCCAAGTTAAACCTCCTGCTGTTGGAAATGCTGGAGCTTGGTTCTTTAAAAGTTTTGCTACACTGAGTTTCTGCCAGCACGGAGCTGGTAAGGTGTTGATGTGAAGACAAAGGGTTTCATTCCTTGCGTCTGCAGTGCCCCTTCTGCCATTAGGAAACCTCTTGTGAATTAAAGTAAGAAAGTTCAAGAACCATAATAAATTTCAGTGAAAGCTGAAAAGAAGCTGGAAGTGGACAGGCAAGGATCTAGGAGCTGTGAGGAAGGAGGATGCAAAAGCCAGGAAGAAGAGTTGGGTAAGGAGGCAGATTGTTAGAAAGGAGCAAGGAATACCAAGCAAAGATGTATGTTCTTATTTTCTTATTCCATTATGGAAGACTGCAGTTGGCTGAGTCTCCTCAGCAAAGACAGCCAGGAGTTGGGAGAACAGGAGCTGGGCAAGAGGGGGAAGAAGCAGATGGACAATGAGTAAGTGCCCAGGAAGGATGCAGCATTTTCCTACTGAGAGAGCAAAAGTGGTTTTTGAGTAAGAGCTGCCTTGTGAGGATAAAGGAGGGAAAGACTGGGATTTGTGGATGGTAGGAAGAGATCAGAGAGATGCAGCACTGCGTGTGGAAAGGTACGGTAGATACTATGTTGGAGAGGAAGGAAGCTGTGGGTGAGCTTGGTGGCTAGACAGTGCTCCCTCCAAAGCCAGACACTTCTGGATCTCCTTGTCACTGGCAACTAAAATTGATGAACCCCCTGGAAACTCCTCTGTTTACCTCTGGTACAAGCATGTAGAGAAAATGGCAAACTCTTATTTTCCCTCAGCTGAGATGTGTGATCCTGCAATTGAATTATTGATTCTTGTCCTGTTGAAGGTGGATATTAATATGGTGGTGTAGACTGTCATTTTTAAGGTGTCTTGCTTAAAATTAAAAAAAAAAAAAGGTAATCCGCACAATCTAAAAGTACTAAAAAAAATATGGCTACAGAGATGTTAGGAACAACAAAACAATATTTGCTGTGATGGTTTAGCCATTTTTATGTACTCCTAGAGCTCTTAAGACCTTTTTCCGTTTTGTCCAGTGTCGTTTATACTATGTGCAACATTAATTCCCTTTGTTAGCTAATTGTAAGACAGTTGCTGTGCTTAATCTTGACTTTCTTTTAGAGAAGCACATCACATGAAGTATAATACTTCCAGTTAAAGAGTACGTTAGTTTGCTGATAGGCTTCGTTGTCGTGGTTTTGTGACTTTTGTCTGTAGTTAATTTGCACAGTTCCAATATTTAGTCATTGCACCTATAATGCCTTTTGCCTGCCATGTTGAAGTGTCTCCTGATTAAAAGTTTCTTCCCCGTGTAGATTGTAATAGATTAAATCTTGAATTTCTTTCTGGTAACTTAGCAAAAAAAAAACAAACAATCATGCCTGCAAAAACATATTTTTCAGTTTTCTAATTAGCCATCTTGTTCTTCAAGCCTGCTCTAATCTTTTAACATCCTACTTGAACTTCTGACTCTCTGAAAATGCATACAGTCCTTTAGTAACTGGTCTTTTTCATGGTACTAACTAAAGAAATCAGGTTATTGTTCTTCTGTTGGGTATGACCTTATCCATTCACCATTCATTGCGTTTCAGCTGGGAGCTTGTATTCAGGCAACTATCTACCATGATATTGACATGATACAGTCTTTCTGTTTTCTAGAAATACAGTCCAGCATCCTTTATCCATCACTTACATTGCTTGTTCCTAAGGGTACTACCCTCTGTAAGACTTGATGGAAAGTATCTGTTGGCAGTTGGGCTGTCTCTTGCTGTCCCAGTGGTCTGCCCCTTCTCATTCTTCCAGTCTGTATCCCACTTCCAAGTGACAAACTTTTCTTTTGTTAGGTCAAGAACTGCTTCGTGTGTGATTTGCATGAGTGGTGCAGCTGCTGCTGATAGTTCTTTATAATGTGTTCTAAAGCCTTAGAATGTAGCCATTAGAAATACTTTTAATACATCATATGTTTGGAGGTTTTTTGTTCATATTCTAGCTTGTTACACCAGATACTTCCTAACACTAAATCGAGTATTTGATGTAAGTCATAGTTTAATCACCACAAAAAACTATTTTCACTGGTGAAATGTACATATGTATATTCTTACCAAAAAGGTCCAGTCAGGCAAGTTTGTTTTAACACTTAATCTATATTTTCCACTGTCATTTATTTTTTTTGAGATGACCTAGGATCAGTTATTCCATTTATTTTCATGCCTGCCTGAAGGCATTCGGTTTCCCCTTCATTCCTTCCTTCCCTTTTTCTTTCTTTTTTTCTTTTTTTTTTTAATTATTTCAATATTTTTAAATCATTCAGTTCAGTTTTAAAGTAGTTCACTAATGTTCCAAAACTTCCTGAAAATTGATACAGATAAATAGTCCAGAACCTTTGGTCAGCTCTTTTAAAAATGTCTAATATTTACACGTCCGGCTGCCGCCGGAAGCGGCGGTGTGTGCGGGGCCCAAGATGGCGGCGGGGATGTACCTGGAGCACTACCTGGACAGTAAGGGCCGCCGGGGGCGGGGCCGAGGGCCGCGGCTGGGGCACGGAGGGAGCGCGGCTCGGGGCGGGGAATTATTTCAATATTTTTAAATCATTCAGTTCAGTTTTAAAGTAGTTCACTAATGTTCCAAAACTTCCTGAAAATTGATACAGATAAATAGTCCAGAACCTTTGGTCAGCTCTTTTAAAAATGTCTAATATTTACACTTCTTGGAGTGGAATTTTTTCAGTATTATAGTGCTGATGCAGACACAGTTTTCAGTGGAATTTTTTTTCCCCCTCCCACAGAGATTGTCTTTCATATGGTTTACTGGCTGGATCTGCTCAGGGAAGGAATGAGGAGTATGTGATGAAAGAGAGCATTTGTTTGTAGGACCTCTTCAAATCCTTGAAGAAAGGAAAGGTGTATAATGAAATAAGTGAAGATTATAGGGAAAAAAAAGGTGGCCTTGTGTTTGAGGCAGTTGAATACCACTCTGACCAAGTGAGGTTGATGTTTGTGTTTATTTTGTGGGTCATGCTTTTCACAGGTTCTCTTTGCATAGATTCCCTCAAATTCTGTGTGAAAATCTGTAGTCAGAGGAGCAGATGTGGAGAAGGCTCATGGCTGCAGCTGAAGTCTGTTTTAAACAGATAACTCTGAAGAGTCAGGCTATGTAGTGGTTTTAGACATTTCAAGAGGTGTGTTTGTAATTTGCTGGCCTTCTTGGCTTTAATCTCTTTGCCTCATTAAATCTCTTGACCTTCGTTTCATTGGTAAGGGAAGTGGGCTACTCCACAGCAGCAGTGTGAAAAAGCATTCTAATGTCACAATAATGAGCACCTTGAAAAGGCAATTTTCAGATTGCCTTTTACCTTTCAGAGCTTTGGGTCATGTATGTGTGACTCAGCGTGTGAGTTTTAGTTTATTTTCTTTGTATGTGAACAAAGAGAATAAAATATAACTTTGAATCACTGCTCAGTCACTGGGAATGAGAAACACCTTGTATGAAAATCTCATGCGGTTTGGTAGTTAAAAACTGTACGTTAAAATGCATGAGTGCTCTGACAAAGCTATGCATACAGCCTCAATTGTTTCAATTAATGAATTTTTAGTCCTCTATTTCGGACACCTAAAGTTCTTTTCCAGAAGATTTTTGTGGAATAGCCAAGTTAACAGCAGTTCTTTTAGTAAAAGGTGTCTGGCAGTTTCTTAGGTCTGGTATTTCAGTAGCTTTCAAGTCCTTGCTGTAATTTGAAACTGGGTTTAGACCTGGGATAAGACATGCCTTTGTCTTTGCTCTAAGCTATTAATTGTAAAGCATAGCTGTCTGAAACGTGTTATGCTCCTAGCAGGTGTTTTTGCAGCAGAAAAATACGGACATTCCTTCTCTGCTGAATATCCTGACAGAGGGACTCCTTATTTTGTTCAGTCTGATCACTCTCCTTCCTTCATCCTACTGAAGCTGCCCTTTTAACTACTCTACTGAACCAAAGGATTGAGGGAAGGGGAAGAAGAGCAATGTTTCTTCTTCCAGTTCTCTTCTTCCTGAGTGTTTTTCTTTGAGCACGGCTCTTCAGTGCAGTTCTCTTCAGTGGCTGAAGTTAAGCATGAAAATATTTCCATTTCTTTAAATATTATCCTCCTCCTGGTCTTTAAACCATTTTATGCCTGCTTCTGAGGAGAGAAAGCAAGAATCTGAAGTGCTTTCCCTCACGCCAAAAAAGCAGTGCAACTTTAGTAGGGGAGAAACTATGGCTGCAATGGAGTTAGAGATGGAGGAAGAATTAAAAGGAAGAAAACATTGTGTTCTGTGATGAGAGGATTGAATATACACGACGACTCATTAGAGGAGTTTATGCTTGCTGAAACTCGAGTTACTGTGCTTGGCTCACTATTTGCTCTCGTCCTGGGTTGGGAATACTGTAGTGAAGGCTTTGAGGGGGAGAAAAGAAGGGTGACTAATACAGATTTTCCAGAAGATGAGATGCAAACACTGTGTTTTCTTCGTATTTGGAATTTTCGAGAGGATCACAGAGCTTCTTTGTGCTAGGCGTCCTTGAGGTGCATGCATTTAGGAAAAAGTCCTAAATAGTTTTCTATAAGTCTCTGTTTATGTGTGAATCATCGAACCATCTAGATTGGAAGGGACCTTCAAAATCACCTAGTCCAACCATCAACCTAACTCTGATTAAAAAGAAAAAAACACATCACTAAACCATGTCATTAAAATACGCCGTGGTTGTAGGGATTTATGTTTATAGTAGAGGGAATACACCATGGTTGTAGGGATTTATGTTTATAGTAGAGGGAACTGCTGTGCAACCAGATGTATTTTCTACCATCAGTGCTTTCCTGTTTACTAAGTAAGTATACTTGGTGACAACACACAAGTTTATCTTTTATGGCAACAGAACCTCAGCTGTCTGGTGCCTGAATTTATTATGAAATGCCCTCTCTGCTCACCTGCCTGTCCTCTACTGCCCAGTTGCTCAGGTAGCTGAGGAGAACGTAAGGGTCGTGTTTGTGGATGTGCTTTCTGAAGCAAGCAAACAGCACCTTCCTTGCTGGTTCTAGCCACCACTGTCCACCACGTGTTCCTGCCTGGGCTGATGAGGTTCTTGTTTTATTTGCCTTACTGAATCATAGAATCATAGAACGTCTAGGTTGGAAGAGACCCTTGGGATCATCGAGCCCAACCATCTACCCTACTCTACAAAGTCCTCCCCTACACCATGTCCCTTAGCACTGCATCTAAACGGCCCTTAAACCCAGCCAGGGATGGTGACTCCACCCCCTCCCTGGGCAGCCTGTTCCAATGCCCTATCACTCTTTCGGTGAAAAATTCTTTCCTAATGTTCAATCTAAACCTACCCTGTTGGAGCTTGAAGCCGTTCCCTCTCGTTCTGTCACTAATTACCTGTGAGAAGAGACCAGCACCAACCTCTCTACAGTGTCCTTTCACGAAGTTGTAGAGAGTGATGAGGTCTCCCCTCAGCCTCCTCTTCCTCATACTAAACAGTCCCAACTCCCTCAGCCGCTCCTCATACGATTTGTTTTCCAGCCCCCTCACCAGCTTCGTTGCATGGGGAGCATGTGTTGTCCCAGTAGGGAAGTGTGTGCCAGACTGGAAGGAAGTTTAAATTTCCCTATGGTTGAACCGGTCTGTTCCTGAATAAACATCAGTACAAAATGTTGGTAAGAAATGGTAACAAAACAACAAAAAATGTTTCAGTCTTCCCTCACCCCAAACCTTTGAGGAACTAGATTTTGCCAACATTTGGTCTAAATTAGAACTAAACACTTGGGAGATTCATCAGCAGAGAGCTAGTAGTCTTGGTGAGCTTGAGAAGTCGAAGGATGTTGCTGGCCTGTCTACTTGGATGGCTGATTGATATTCATTGCGTTGTCTTGGAGGCCACCAGTCAGGATGTGTTCCAGGAGCAGACACTAGGACATGCTTGCCTCAGGGAAGAGGATGATTGAGACAGCAGACTTAGATGAGGAGTCCTCAGCTGGTAAGTTAAGGTGGTACTGTGTAGTCATTTTCTTTTGGGCTTTTCCCCTTTTTTATGCTGATTAGGGAGACATCAAGTTTTTTTGCTCCTCCTATTTGCATGTGTCAATAGGCACATAGAGCTGCAGCAGTTCAGGGCTTGTCAAACAGTAGAAAACTTACACCAGCATAAGCACAGAGCGACAGAAGCAGCGTACACCCTTTTCAAAGTCATCGTCTTTCTCCTACAACTCACATGGGAGTGTCCTTTCATTCCCTGATAACATTAGCTAGCCCAGTAAAATAGGATTATTCCTTCAGAATAGCTACATCTGTTTGAATGTCTTTGTCAAATGAGGGTATGATGTGTATTGTCATCTTAATACTCTTAGAGGGCATGAGTGTGATGTTAGAACTTGCTGTAGGCTAGCCCTTGATTTCTTCCCAGTCCTTGCTGCATTCCAAATTCCCCAGCAGTTCTTTTATTTTTCGCTACCGTCATTACTCTTATCCCTTCCCCAGTGTAGCTTGTAGCCGTACCCTCCTGTTCTTCTCTCCGGAGTTTCTCACATCATACTTCAGATATGCAAATCTCCTAATAAATCGTTTCTATATTCAACATCATCTTAGTGTAGTGAAAGATGCCTTTCACCTTCCTGAGACTTTGGATTAGTTGCATCTGTGATGCAGCACACATGATCTATGGAAAATTACAAAAGATCACATGCAGGGGAGAGGATTTGGTGATTCATAGGCATCATTTGTTTCTGTGTGAAAGCTACTGACATGGCCCACACTAAGCTAATACACTCATTATTGTTAATGACCAGTTTATTTAGAATTGATTTTGTTTTTGACTGGTATTTTTATCAGAGCTGACACAAGATGCCTTTTTACAAGACGAAGCATACTGCATTTTCTCTGCATTTCTTCACTTACTCAACAGCAAATCCGACGTGACCGTTTTGGCAAACAGCCCTGTGATCTCTTTGGTGGTGGTCCCTGCCCTTGGAGATCTGTGACAGGATGGAAATGCCTGGAGTGGCGCAAATCTCGTTTGACCTGTTAGTCTTCCAGGCCCTCCAGGCTTCTGAAATCAAGGTTGATCTTTAACATAGCAATAAAGATACCTTTTCTGAGATTTAATAACTTTACCGACTGTCTTTGCTGTGGATGCTGTAGTTGTGAACTAATAAGAAAAAGGCAAAAAGAGCCCTCCCTTCCCAAGAAAAGTGTCCCCTCTTTGGGGGAGTGTTAGGTTCCTGTGGCTGTTAGGCTGACTGTCGCTGGTGACAGACACCTCTTTCTTTGGACGGTGTCTGAAGCAGATGCACCTGTGTGGACTAGTGTGCAGTGCACTGGCCCAGAGCTCGGGTTATATGACATGGCCACATGTCACCCATATGTCCTCGGTGTCCGTGGGCAGGTCAGTCTACTGCCCACCCAAGTACCCCGTTTGTAAAAGCATAGGTGGTGCTATCCCTTACAGAGGTGTTTGGAGGAAAACATTACAGTTTAGGCTGCG